GTGGTGCGGATCACTTGGAAGAGCTTGCGATAATTGCCTATTTCTCCTGCTTCCTCTATTGAGCCCGACTGGTTCATTAGGCTTCGTTGTCAACACGCAGGCTCTATTGTACTTCGCGCCTACTAGTCCGCCTACTTACATCGTGCTGAGGCAGCCGCAAGTCCTCTTCTGGATTCTCATAGGTTCACCGAGCTCTCGGATATCCGGGGACTGCTGTGGTGACGATCGATAGAGCCACAAGCGGAATCTTCTGTATGCTGCATGGCGGCCGAGATACTATTCCACTGAAGCTCAGTGTCTTTAGGACGACAGAGCAAATGTTCGATGCGCAGCGCATCCTGGCAGGTCTGCCTGATCTGGGACTGGGATAACTTCCCAGTTGTCAATCGAGGGAGAGACTTGCTACGCATCCAGGTGAATTTCACGGAGAAACAACAGCTTATCAAGACATGATCAGAATCGACACAAGTATCCCGGAAAGCGCAACACTTCAGGACGGAACCTCGCCACCTGTAACTTATGGTAATGTAATCCATTTGAGTCCGTCGCTGGTCAGCTGCAAGTGGACGCCAAGTGGCACTTCGGTGCTCACTGTGCTTAAAACTTGACACTAAGGAACTGCCGGTGCTCCGCACACAGCTGTAACAGACGCTCGCCGTTGTCTGTCCTGTCGGAGTTAAGTCCAAACTTACCACCTAACAGAGCATCCGAAGAGCGCAAACGACCTACCTAAGCATGCATACCTCCTGTACGTACTACGATATTTGAACTGGTAACAATGTGTAGTAGTGTGTTCAGTTTGTTATAACAGACTTCTATAACAGCATCAGAATTCCAGTCGGAGGGGGCGGGATGTCATCCATATCGAAGTTGAACAACAGGGGTGATGCAGCGCAACCTTGTCCCACGCCATTGGTGATACTGAAATAGAGCGAAAGTTTCTCATACAACCGCAGTTGGCCCAAGGTTGAAGGACAAATAGTCTGAAGAGTGTTAACAAACTTCTCGGACCTTCCCCTTCTCAACAGACAAGTCCAGAGAGCAACTCGGTCAACTGAGTCAAACCGGCTGGTACGTCTAAGAGGCCAACGATCGCTGACCGCCCGAACGTTTGATAATAATCGAGTATCTGGCGGATCGTCTACAGGTGATCTCTATTACTCCGGCAAAAGCGCAACCCACCTTGCTCTTCGCGTATGTTCTGCTCATGAACCAGGCTGGACCTTGAAAGCATGGCGGCAGGCACTTTTGACGCAGCGCGAACTAGACTAGTCCCTCGATGCAATTGCACTACTTCATCCCAGCTGCTTACAAACCAGCTTAGTCTAACCCAAATTTGGAAAAGCACCAGCCGATCGTTTCGCCTTATTGGGGCTCGTCAATGGCGCACATTCCCTCGGTCCCAAAATAGGTATCGAACCCATGGCGGCTAGCAGGTTACGCCAACTAGCCAGCAGCTTATGCCACTGAGCCGTGGGGGACGGAAGCAGACCGTCTGCATTTTCAAGTTAAGTGGGATATAGTGCAACTTATCCCCCATCGCCATGCTGATTCATACCATTGCAGTGGACAGTGGTTGGAATCCGAGCTCACCGCTTCCACTACAAAGTAGTTTTGTCCGCATTGTACTTAAAGTCTGTGGGGGCGAATGTTTAGATTACTGATGAGTAGGATGATTTTTGCTAAAATGTTACTGGTCCGCTTTTCAGCTGTTTCGCCTCCGCTGGTCAACTCGCCAAGTTGTTTATCGCTTGTATCTGTAATGCACGGATCGCATGCGATGCCTCCATCGTTTATAAACGCGGTGACACAATCTGTCAAGCAAAGATGATCCTAATGGAGACCAGTGTAGCTATGTGTCAGAGACTCAGGTGGCCGAGTGAATAGCGCTTATCTTCACGAGTAGACAGTTGTCAGCATGAACTCCGGCTTTGCAGTGAATTAGTTGATAAACTACCATCATTTACACACCTCCTGATGCACAAAGAACGCCTGCTTCTGTCTACGTTGTTTGCCAAGAGTTTGCCTGCGCGAGCGAAGACCGAAGAGGATCAGACGATAAGGATACTAGTAAAGGCATGGAGGAGCTTGTTGAGAGTCCCAACTGCGTTAACGCTTCTGCTTCCTTCTGAATCTGTTTTTAGCTAACCCATATAGCACGTTTTAGCTTGGGTTCAATGATCGTCTACGGTAATTCCTTACGTCTAACCACTAGTCTACCAGACAACGAAGCTACTGTTTTTGACTTCTACGACCGATTTGTCCATGTTCTCTCCTCCATTTTTCCGCCTTTAACCGCCCCTGGTTTTCGTTACCACGGTAAGGTGAGTTATTGCAATTCTGGTCACGACACGTCTGTAGTGTGGTAACGGTGGGCAGCCTGACCCAGAAAGCTAGTACGTTCAAAATGACCACTTCCGTATTGGTCTCTGCTTCTAGCAGTTTTTGAATTGGTTTCGGCTCCATACCGTACTATCACTTTGCGCCTCTTCTACGCTACGTCCCTTGACACTGCAAATATGATCCTGCCAACGAACTCCATGGACTGCTCGTCGGTATCAAACCGCGCAGTCATGGACCTGGCCATGTCATAAAAACCATAGGCGAATACGCAACAGTTGTCATTGCGGTGCGATGCATCGGATGCTTGTGTTTTGCGCTCCACCTAAGGCATGCAGCAGCCTACATTCAAGTGGGGCAGCATACTGTGCACCATGCCACTTCCGGGAGGATGTACGTGCACTGTGTGCAGCCACACAATTCGGGCTCACCACGCTCACTGCTGTTGTGACGGTGTACCGTCCTTCATTGCATACAGTAACAACACGAGATCTAGACCATCTCAAACCCTTGAGCCCCTCGGACAGTGCGGCACACAATGCACCGGATTGGTAATCTCAGTAATTGTTTCCAGTATGCACTAATCGGTGAGCCAGGTCAGATCAAATGTGTCAGTATTGCATCCGTACACCGTATCGACGCTTCGCTGCCACGCAACCACCACTGGTCTCAACACACTAATACAATAAGCGACTCGGTCAACTGAGTAAAACGCGCTCGTATGTCTTTGGCCCGGTGACGTACAAGACAGGCGTGTTATTTTCAGCCAGCGGCCGACTAGGCCAAATCAAGTATACTAGCATCCAAGAGATTGGGTAGGAAAGTAAGCTGGCACGGTCCGAGTCTATTGTGCGGCGAGGACAGGCCTAATAAAATGACGGGCGTGTCCGTAGTTCTTTGACACCTTGTGAGTGCATCGACTGTGTGAATGCCGCGGACCTTACTCCGTTATTACCTGTCACTGCGACTTCGATGGTTTATGCTTCACTGCTCGCAGTGGGGTTGAATAGATACGAGAGTAATGCAGAAGAGAACCACGACAGATTCAAAATGGTCTATGCACAACTCTCCCCTCATCGGAGGTAGATCACTTATGAACCGTAACCTGCGACTCCAAAAGGCCCTGAAAGCAGAGGGTCATCTGCTGAAACGAGACTTTTCCACCGCATACAACCTTCCCCCTAGGTTTGGGACTTGGTGAGCAAAGTTGGAGGTTAAGAATCTTAGTGGCTGACTTCTGAAAGCAATATTGATAAGAAGTCGTCTCAGAGACAGTGCGCGAGGTTGAGAAGACCACGTAAAAGGAAACTGGTGCAGAATATGATGAAACCGTGAGAGCAAGAGGCATGAGGAGAGGAAAACCCTAGGCTGTTGAAAACGGCACCTAATGTCAGTGTATGCTTCATACATTGATGAAACTTCAATGTGCAGGCATCTAGGTTACATATGGATGAAAAAGATGAGAAAAGTGGTGAGGTGGATGTGGTCATGGTTTCATTTTCATTCTGCTTATCCTGAAATGGCTTTTTGGCTTTTGCTATGGGAAGTAGAGGATAAAAATTCAGCTACAGTGCAGGGTGTCTTTCTTGTTACCTTTGTCTAATAAAGGTATCAGTCATTGACAGTGTGGATAAAGAGGTGGGGTGCACCCCGCACGTGTAGCAAGTTTACTGTCTTTCCCAGCGAATATGTCAATCCTCCGCTATGTATGCTGGCTCTCTCGTCTCTGTTATCCCCTCTGAAAACATTCATTTATAAACGCTGAAGATTTTCTACAGTGTCGTACGATCTTTTCAAAATTCCACTAAACTCACAGAACTGTATTAGTTTAGCAAAACTGCCAGAGCATATAACAGCTAATGCGCTTGACAAACAGAATCACACTATTTGTTTGTATTTGTCCAAATAGGCAGTTAAGGTTTCTAGGGAGCAAATGATTAAAGTTTGTAGTACCAACCAGTTACATCCAAAATTCTTCGCATCTTGAACTGTGCTGAACTAGTGAACGAGTATCTGGCTCGAACAGCGTTCGATCAAATCAGACTCGATTTTCATTCGTTCCTCTAATACAATTTAACAGTCATTTTGTTCACAAATTGACACTTATGGTCATACAGTTGCCAGGGCCAAATATACACTTGCTCCGCTTCCACCACGCATTCTCTTTACCTTGTCCGTACTAAGGAACACGTTGCTTTGCAGTGTCACTGACTGTCCCCAAGTCGCACTCTACATTCCCCTCCCACGGCGCGTGTCGGAACGGTTCTGGTGCACCGGGTGCAATCCAGGACTCACATATTCGATCCGGCTTAGATACAGTGACGTTGCACGCAGTTGCTGGATGTCATATGGCAAAGAAACACCGGTGCGACTGTGCATTCTTGTCCATCCCAGCCACTGTAGAGGTGCGATGTATTGGTAATGGCGTTACTGACTGAGGGCCGTTGTTCAGCTCATTGACAAAATCTCCACCCTAGAGCTGTGAGCATCATATGAAGTCCAAACCTGTCTCTCTGAAATCAGTACAGAATGGGCTTACGGAATCTGTAAATAGGATCCTTTGTACCTAGAAAAGATAGTATTTTTCAACTGCTTCGCGCATTCATTTCACTACACCAGTAAGCTGTAAAAGTTTACCAGACTTTTCTTTTCATATTTAGACCGAGTGAAGTTAGCCGAGCAGCGATACAATCAATGCATACAAGACTGGAATGTTGCCCAGGAGCAGTGGGAAAAGGAGAGAACTAGCTTGATGGAGAAGTTGGAATATGCAACGAACCAAGAAGAGTTTTACGTACGCTTTCCATGTGTCTTCCTACAAATATGTGTTTTTATATCCTCGTTTACAGTATATCGTTCATTGTAAGGCAGCGGTAAGAGAAGCAGAATTCCCCCACAACCGGAAGTGCCACCATATTCACCATACTGTTACTGCACCGTAGTCACCGTAATAATATAGGATAATAAAGGCGTTTTAACGCTGTCCTAGGTCTGCTGTCTTCCTAGTGCTCTGTCCAACCCAACCGGGAAAAACTGAAGACACGACTAGCCAGACCGGAATAATAACAAGGACGGGGAATGGTTATATTTCTGTGCCAAATACACGTCCTCGCCTCTGTCCTCCAATCCGAATGTACGTTTGCTTGACTGATTGACAATCGCCTGTCTGCTCATGTCTGCACGTACTCGCGGTCTCCGGTATTTGGCCCCCTGCAAACTCGACCAATCGCAGCCCCGCTCGCGTCTGCCACATAGGAATCCGTGGCATCGACGATGAACTGATTTCATCAGTTGCTCGTGTCACCTGCCGCAGTCCCGCTTCGCGTCCTAAAACTGTGTCTCGGCGTTCATCCGCTACGATCACCTAATAAAAAGTGAAGAAGAACGATCTAGGCCTCAGTGTGACATGCATATCCGTGATTATTTCGGATGGTTTGTTGCAACGTGCATATCCTAATGATAATACAACTGCTTTCAAAATACTTTCACTCTAGGTTAATTTGATAGATTGTCAGGATAAGATACATTCCCCAAATAGTGTGAGAAAGCCTTTCGCATCGAGGTATCTACATAATGCCAACAATACAGTACTACCAGACCGTTATCTACCGCATGCAAACAAGGCGACTTTGCTGAAACAGCTTACTTGCAGATTTGACATTTCTACTTCATAACTAACCTCACCTTGCCGATAACTCGAAATCACACCAATTACAACCATCAGCAGTTACATTAGCGCCGGATTCGAACCCTTTGTTGTGAAATCACTGACAAGTATCAGTGAATATTTTCAACCTGGCTGAACTGGTCAGCAGTCTGTAGCCGCTCAATCGGACGACGGGGGTCAAATTCAGGTTTCACTGGCGTCTAAGCGGCTCTGGGTGTTGCTAATTGGAACTCAATCATCTACCCCCTTCTAATCAGTAATAAACGGTACTCCGTTTATGATGCATACACGGTCAGTGATTTAACTTCGAGAGATGGTTGCTCATTTGATTGCGCGAGATCACTAGCTACAGGACATTACGTGTAATTTGACGGGGAACAGATCCCGCTATTAGATGTGTAACGTCTACCACCATCTTCCGCCATAACTAAGATGCGCAGTTCCTTCCTTGTCCAATTTGAGACTAGTATTCCGGTGGTTAACCGGACAGAAGACACTTGCACTGCTGAAAGTATCAGGAACAATCGTAATGGCAGTCTACTATTCTCCCGATTTTGATTTCCATCGGAATAAACCCGGTTGTGCCAAGTTCTCTTTGGATATATCATGCCCTAATTACTCCATCTTATGGTGCTATGGGTAAATATGGTGCAAAATCTAGTAACCAAGGTAATACATATTAGTCGCAGTTCACATTGTTTTAATGATTAGTATATAGCCTCTAAGCGTACCTCAGCAGCGCAGAAGAGAATGAGGTGTATTCTCAGAATCTGCACCAGGGTGATGCCCACGGGTTTTCATGGTCTGCGTCCGTGAGCACCTGAGATTGCCCAGGTTAATCGCAATTGCCTACGCGACGACTAAAATCCGACTCTTAGGCTGTTTTGGCGACTTACATGAGTATGACTAAGCAAGCGAAATGTCGACCGGGCGTCGGTTACTTCGTTGAGAGAGTATCATCGCAGAACAGGTTTTGACCATTGCTGTGTTCTCAGCGGCTATGGCCGAGTGGCATTCTACGGTCATGTCTCGAGTGCCGGAAGTAAAGCTAGCGTGTGAAGAAACAAGAGCACAATTGCATGCGCGTTCGATTTTAGAGGATCTCTTAGGGCCGTGGGTTTGCGTTGTGTGAAACAAGCGACAGAAACAAGTGTATCTTTAATAAAGAAGCACGCAGCTCTGATTACTCACAAGTGTGAGGGTTTTATTTGCCACTTTTTGATGTATTCGTCCTAGCAGCTCACAAGTTACCTAGAACAACCTCAGTTCGGAAACGCACCAGACGCGTTTCGCCCTCTTGGGGCTCGTCAGTGGTCCATCTTCTTCGTTCCCCTACTGGAGATTGAACCCATGACTGCTAGAGCCTGACGCCAACTTGCGAGCAGCCTAAGCCACTGATCCATGGGTTACGGTGGTTGATCTACATAATTTGCAAGCTAACTGGAATATAGCACGACCTATCTTTCACTGCCACGCAAGTTACTACAAAAAAACAATTCGCCAGCGGTACATCGTAACGGCGCTTCCCTGCCCCGCGACCACCACCGGTCACAGATGGCAATGCCTAGCCTCCGAGGTCATGACTTCCTATCACTAGACGCTATGTCCATAGCATCTGAAACTATGGGAGCTACATTTAGGTAGCTCAACCACCGTCCTCCGTTGCTCAGTAGCTTAGGCTGTTGGCTATTTGACGTTAGTCTCTAGCGGTCATGAATTCGATCCTTAGTACAGGACCGAAGGATGCGTACCACTGACGGGCTCCAATAGGACGAAACGCATGTCGTGCTTTTCCAGATGTGGATTGTGCTATGTTACCTGTGAGCTTCTGGGACAAATACATTAAAAGCGCAGGTCCGATTGTTGAAAATCTTTTTTTTCCGGTACAGATCACACATCTGCTTCTGGTGCATAACGCACTAACCTTATAGAACGAGTCAGTTTTTTGTTTTCTGTTGACATTTGACCATATATACGGTGTGTCCGATATGTCTGGATCTATCCCTGCAATTCAGCCTTGACAAGTATCTTTCAACAACTCACTTGCGCCCATATCGGAAACACCAGCATCTGTAACGCTTCTCCGGCTATCCAATCGGCATGCGAGCAAAGGGTAGAGCAAAATCCATGGCTTCCCACGCGATTGCGTGCCCCCCAAACGTATGCGCAAGCATGCGAGCATTTTCTGCCTAATATAAATTGCAGATTGGATAGCTGGACAAGCGTTACAGATGCTTGTGTTTCCTATATGCGCTCAAGTGCTTTGTAGAAAGGTACTGGTCATGGCTGAATTGCGGGCATATATCCAGACATATCGGACGCACCGTTGATTGTGTGGGACTGTTTTACTACGCCAATTACACGATTCCGCCCGACCTAGTGGCACCACCTTGCTTTAGGTTTTTATGCGCTGAATTTACTTCGGTTTAGGTTTACCCTAAACTTTAGGAGGCACATTGCTGCCAAGCAACTTTAGGCGACACCTTTTCTTGCTCTTGAATGTACGTCTTGCGGTTGGCTTTTACATAGCTCGTCTCACAAGCCAGTTGGAGTACTTTGCACGACTGGATACATCCTCCGAAGTGATTTGTGATGCTGGCTAGTTGGCATCTGCCTGTAGCTCTCATGGATTCGATCCCCAGTAGGAGACCGAGGGAATGCGCACCACTAACGAGGCCCAATAGGGCGAAATGCGTCCGGTGCCTATCCGGACTAGGCTGTACTATGTAGGTTGTGAGCAGCTGGGACGAAAATATTTAACATTATGATTTGTGATGTGCTGGGGGACGGACACCTGACTGCTGGTAGCCATCACTTGCGTTATGGAGTTGCTGTCACGTCTTTTCACATTGTTTTTCATTTAGTGGTAGAAGAGCGATAAAAATTCAGGCATGTTAATGCGAACTTCACTTTGCTGTGCTCGTTCACTGTTGCTTGTTTTAATGTGCCATTTCCTTAACCACCCTGGCTGTTCACGCTCCTCATTTTTGGATGAGTATCCCCTTTCCATTCTGACGCCAACATTGGCACTTTTCTTTGCGTGCCTCATATTGGCTCTTTATTTGTTCGGTCCTTAGTGGCTTTGTCTAGTCACACTCCGTCAATGCTCTGGTTGGTTTTTACAGTTACGCATCATGCTATATATTAGTATCATTTTCCTATAAAAACAACCCTTATCCTTGTTGCTTCTGGCACAAGCTCTCATTACTGTTCCTTGGCCGGGCACAACTGTTCGCAACTGGTACTGTGTTCCCGTTTGAGTTGAGAGATGAACGACGGATTTGCACTCCACCCTATTCTATTCAGCGGTTTTATACGCCCGTCTTCATCGAGCAGCTAAGATACTCATTGTAGAGCAGCATACGAGTGTTACAATTAGACCCATACACCGACGTATGGGATAAACCCACTAAATCGTACTACGGATTCACAGCAATTTCAAAGGCATTACGTAACGAATCAGCTCTCTCCTTCGTTATCTGCTAGGATAGTAGATCAGACCAGTTCCACCTTGAAACTGGGGCCATTAGCAGCGCCGTTTTGGCCCAAATTGTCGACACTGGGCGCCAAGTTGATCTAATTTCCTGGGTCCCCCAGCGTCAATCCAGAGGTCTGCGTCTATATGTACTCGCGACCGTTGAAGCCATTTGCATCCGGTTGTTTCAACCCTCTTTGTGCTCGCAAAAAAAGTTGATCTAGGATGTTCAGCTTCCCTGACTAGCTTGAACGGGCGATGCTGAGTTCAAGTGCCACAGATCATGCTCGGTACTAGACAATCGACCTGTTATGGCAAAGGTCAATCTTTAGCCTCCCACACCAAACCGCAAATGAACTGCATAATTTGAGTTATTGGGTCAATTTCGTTTCTTTTACCCCTATGTAGGATTGGAATGGTCTGAGGATAAATCATCGAAAACAGTTTTTCATCTATGGTCTCGTATTTTCGAATTCTAAACGGAAATTTTCAAGTTTGATAATCATGGCGTTTGTATCAGAAATGTGACCGTTGAAGGTTGGACAACAACCAAAGTGGACGGTGCTATGTACCTAACTGGGAATCACATGGTACTACAAACTGTGGTTGATATCCGTTGTCCCTGAACGACAGTGCCGTCCATTCCTGACAT